TAAGAAGGTAAAGATCCTCCGCGGTCGCGCTCTGTGGGCGGGGCCGGCTGCGGGGCTGCGCTGTGATTGGCCGTGTCCGAGCAACCGCGGAGACGCGGTGGTCGACGGGCCGCGCGGGTCCGGCTCGGAACCAGCGGCTGCGCGGGTCACAGAGAAATAGAATCCTGAGCCGTCGCCGGCTGGCACCGCCGCTCTGGCCACTAGTGGATTGCTTGCCTCGCTCTCACTCTCGGGGTAGACGGCCCCCGGAGGATGGGAGGGCGGCTGCTGGACGGGAGCCACCACGTCTAACATCTGACAGATTGCCCAGTAAGTGTGGGATGTGATCCTTGCCACACCTGAACCGCTGAAGCGCTGAGCTTTCCAACATGTTGAGTAGGGAAGTCTCGGAAGCATACAGTTCCGAGCTGGACTACACCGCTAGTTTACACATGTAAGGAAACAGTAAGGAAAGCTTAGTGACTTGCCACACCCACTTAACTATTTGGTGCCCAGGTCAGCACGCCAAGCGACAAGGTACCTACCCCTTCTGCTCTGGAGGTCTTTCTACTGCACCTCACTCCCAGCAAAAGCTCAGCCGCCCTGCCCTGGCAGAGGACCAGCTTTCCTGGTTTGTGTCCGTACCACAGGCCAACAGTAGTAAGATGATGAAGGCTACTTGGGCTTTGGAGGTAATACAAGAACCAGAAGAAATTTATTTCCAATAAATAATAAATGTGAATAGTCTAAAGCCAAAAGCGATTTTCTAGAAATAAACCCTTGCACAGCTTTCTGTTTTGGAAGGGCCTCTGGCTCCCCCTCATTCCACAGACAGATACACGGTTTCACAGTCAGACCACTGTCTTCTGTCTTATGTGGGCATAAACATTTACTAATGGGTGGCGCCATGGCTCAGTGAGTAGGGCGCCGGCCCCATATACCAAGGGTGGTGGGTTCAAACCTGGTAACTGCAACAAAAAAATAGCCAGGCATTGTGGCGGGCGCTTGTTAGTTCCACATATTCGGGAGTTTCACTCTAGCTTCGCTTCTTCCTGGAATAATCGTAGTTTAAAATTCACATAAATCACAAAATACGGCCTCCTAGCCCAGACTTCCTTTTCAGAAACTGTCAGAGATATAGGAAATTTGGGGTGTTGATAATAAAGGAAGTAGAAGTTTGGGGATGGTTTAAACTGAATTAATGGATTCTAACTCTTGCCCTGTCCCTCAACCTACGACCACCTCAACCTCTTTTAGGGCATGCTGACTTTCAGACGCTCACCCAGGGCATCTATGAGCATCTCTCTGCTGCATATGGAGTCCCTACTTCCTTTAGTTGTTCCATCCTAATCTATTTTTTCTCAAAGCTTTGCTTGCCCAGGCCTTCAGTTCTGACTTTCACTTTTGTTCCTTTTACACATCTTCCTTCTAACTAAGGAAATATTTTCCTATTTCCTCAAACTCTGTGGCTCTTGGGATAGCTTTAAAAACTTAGGGCAGCATTAAACTGGGGTATGCTGTTGTCTCTGACTTCTGAGTTTCTCAGCCTCTCAATTTGTAATAATCTCAGATGAGGAAACCATGAACAATAGTAAACAAGCAAATGAATAAGTAGTATTGCTATATCCGGGAAAATAATGTCTTTGTTTTTTAAGAGATAGTTGTTTCCTAGTATTAGCCTTATTAGAAGTTTTAAGTGAGTCTTTGTTTTTTGAAAAAAATCAGAGTTCTCTCAGTAATTCCTAGTGATCAGTTTTATTCATCTCAGCCCTTACACGAAGTGCTTGCTGTACATAAGGCACTATGCTGAGAACCTTCATATAGTTTTTTGTCCCCATAGTCACTGAAACTTTCTTAAGTCTAGAGAGTTCAAACCTAAGTGGCCAAGGCCATAGTAATGAAGTATAAAAAGAAAACGTGGAGCTTTCCCAGAGAAAGGCTGCAGATGATTGTTGAGGGAATCTAGACAGGCTTAATGGAGGAGGTGACATTTGACTTGGGCCTTGCAGGTTTAGAGTGCGTAGGAGAACTACCTGAGACCAGCCTGGAGGTGGGAAGGCAGGCAGGCTGTGTGTGGCATCGTGGAGGGAAAAGGAGATAATTGTTAGGTCCTTACCCTGGGCAGGCTTCTTTGCTCTAACACAGCCGTTCTCAACTGGGGGTTGCGACTCACAGGAACTGTATTAAAGGGCCGTGGCATTAGGTTGAGAACCACTTCTTTAACAGAATAGTTCTTATCCCATTGAGTGGAAAGATTCCTTGTTATGATGCCCTTTCTCCCTCTCCTCCCATGTTTTCTACAGTTGCTTTCATTTATGACCATACAAGTATTCTCAGGTTACAAGAATTCTCCAGTATTCTCTGGAGTTAAGGTCTGAATCAGAGTGTGTTCAGAATCAATAATTTAAAAAGTCATATCAGTCCAGAAGGGACTGGGATATGCATCTTAAAAAGGAGGCAGAATTTGGTTGCCTTTTGTGTGGAATCAAAAATGTGTCCCTTTGCCTTAGAAACAAAGCCTATGTCTCTTCTGAACCCCTCTTTAAGGTTCCAAAATCCACTTTAGAAAGCCTTATTAGGGTAATTTATGTAAAAGTGCTCCCTTTTAAATCTAGGACTTATAGCTCCCTCCAGTAAAAAGACTGTAGGAGGTAAGTGTGTTTCATAGAAGAGAAAGATTAACTGGAAATGATAAAAATAGTAAAAAATATTTCTTCTGAGCTTCGCTTTCTTGTTTCTATAGGAACATTTAACCGAATTTAGGAGACATTCAGCTTTAGTCTTTGTGGAAAGATCACCCAAAGAAAGTTGAAGTATGTTCGTCTGCCCTTGCTTTCATGTCCTGTGACTCATAGCTTTGTAGCTCAGTATGACTGGAGACTTGGGGAATAAAAGAGTATGTGGGGTGAAGGGGGGGGTGTCACAAAACAAAACACAATTGCTAAAGGATAAGGAATTTCATTTATTTATTTGTACATAGTTCTTTCCAATATATCAAGTGTGTACCCACACATAACTCATGCATAATCATGTCTGCTCTATGAAATGGCCCTGGAAGTTAGGGTGTGCAGAAGATGTTACTAATATAAGAGATGGAATCTATGGCTTACACTAGGCTTTGACTCTAAACTTGTCCACTTCTGTATGATGCTTTCCAAATAATATTGGAATGTTCCAATGTGAACGTTCCAATACTATCAAACTGTGCCTCTTGTAGAAAGAAAGCAAGATCTTCATCAATAATATGATTTTGTATGATTTTGGAATTCAACATATGTGGATAATGTAAATTCACATAAAACCTTGAAATGAAAATCATTATTTTTAAAACCTTAAGAGTGACAAGCTGGGAAGCTTATCGAGCCTGACTGCTAGGAATAAAGATTAGTGCTCTTTGTCTTCCATGAGGACCCATGAGTGCTACCAGGATGCAGTCTTACTGGAATAAAGCTATAGGCTTGTACCGTAGAACCAGGATGGAGGAGAATAGTTGTAAAGATAGCAGCATGGTTCAGAAACGGCTTTGACTCCTGCTTCTCTCACTTACTGGCTGTGGAAGAACTTGGGAGCAAATTCTTCAAATTCTCAAAGCTTCCGAATCCTTGAATATAAGCAGAGTGTTAACAGTGGGTAACTGATGGGGTCATGAAGATCTGTGAGATAGCGCATATAAAAGGCTCTGTCCAGTGTGTGGCCAACAAATGGAAGTTGCTGCGGTTGTTTCTATTATGATAAAGGCCACAGAACATAGACTTTGGAGAGCTGGATGGGCTAGGTTAGAATCTCAACTCCACCCTTAACCAGCTGTGTGATTGTGGCCAAGTTGGTTCTCCTTCTCTGTGTTGGTTTCCTTATTTGTAACATGGTAATAAAAGTAGTATATACCTTATAAGGTTATTATAAGGATTAAATTATATTACACATAATGCTAAATAAGTATTTGCTAATAATAATACTTCTAATTACTTTTCACAAAACCTCCCTGGCTTGAGTCCAGCTGATTTTTGTGTTTGACTGAATTTTCATGTCATAACACTGAGACTTTCAGGAAATACAATTGGAGTTTTTGAAATGAGGAAAGGTAGTATTCTCATTGTTAAAAAAGTGTTTTACAGTTCCAGGGATCAATTTACGTACATTGCACATTCTGGTTACAGATGTAAGCGGAGTTTTCTATACTTCCTCCAAGTTATCAGGCCCTGCCCAGTTGTGGTGAGTGGGTTAAGATTGCATTAGAGTTTAGCCACTCCTTTCCTTTTGTGGAGTTATATTTAGGAAGCCTTAGATAAGCTTGATATGTTGCATATTGCCTCGAGTCCAGTGGATCTCAGAATAGTTGGCTACATGAACCAGAATGTTTAAGTCCAATATTGGAGTAAGGTCCCAGAAAATAAAACATTCAGAAAGTAGGCACACGTGTTTCAGCTGGGCTAAGCAGTGGTCTGGTTCCCACCCTACCACCAGCTCCCAGTTAGCCACTGCACCTGTAGAACAGGGGTATTTCCTGTCCAGTTTTATCCTGGTTGGAAACAAAATGTCAGGTGTGATTGTAATTAGAATACAGATATGTAGAGAAGGTTCTGAGGAGAGTGTTCATTTTTCCAAAATCAAAGATCTTTGTATTTTTCTGATTGTGGAAGTAAATACTATTTTATTATAGGAATGCTTAAATAATGCAAAAATTTAAACACTATAGAAAAGGCAAAAACCACACATACTTCAACTACACAGAGAAAACTACTACAAACCTGTTAGTGTACATCTTTCTAGATGTTTTTCAGTGTGTCTATGTGTCTATACATGCAAATATTAAATTTTTTGGATACCTATTAGCAATGCAAGTGGTTGTCTCCTTTTCCGATAAATATGCATCTATATGATAATTGTAATGGATAAATAGGAATTCTATTTCATGAGTATATTGTAATTTATATTAATCCAATTCTTTGTGTATGTAAAATTATTTCTAAATTTTCAGTAAGTCTGAGTTTGACAATTGTCCTTGCAGGACATCCCTGTGACTTAGATTATAATTCTGTGATGGAGAAATCAAGTTCATCTCCTACCATCTCTGGGCAGCAGCTGCAGAGGCAGGAGGGCCTGAGCAACATCAAAGCAGACATGGCTAAGCAAAGTCTCATTTCATCTGAGAAATGGCTTCAACTGTATGGGCTTAAGAGCAACAAATTAACCTTGAAACAGATTTTGTCTCAGATCGGATTCCCACATTGTGAAGGTACAGTCCTCTTAAAACCAGCATAGTGCCATTTAGCCTTTGAAGAGCCTGCTTGCTAAAAGCCCCTCAAAAACCATAGGCCTTTGACCTTGCTGTGATCTCATGTCCCTATCGTGCATGCACCCCCGATACGTTTCTGTTGTATAGAGGTATAATTGTCAAGCCACACATTAAATGTTAATAATGCTTAATTTTACCCTTTCTTTTTCATTGTTATTTTTTAAAGCAGCAGATAAAATTGTACATGTTTATCTTGTACTATATGATGTTTTGAAGAATATATACACTGTGAAACAGTTAAATCTGCCTAATTAACAAATCCATTACCTCATATAGTTATCATTTTTGTGGTGAAAATACTTAACATCCACTCTTTTTGCATTTTTCAAGAATATATCATCAATGCTGTACAGTAGATTTCTTGAATATATTTCTCCTAACTGTGATTGATTGTGTATTCTTTGACCAACATCTTTACAACTTCTCTCCCACCCAACCCAACCTTCCCAGCTTCTGGTAAGCACCTTTCTGCTTTCTTCTCTATGAAATCTGCTTTATTAGATTTCACAACATGAATAAGTGAGATTATGCAGTATTTGTTATTTTGTGTATTCACTTAATGTAAAGGCCTCCAAGTTCATACCTGTAGTTGCAAATGACAGGATTTCTGACCTTTTTTGGCTGACTAATATTTCAGTGTCTATGTATACTACATTTTCTTTATTCTTTCATTTTTTGATGAGGGTTTGGGCTGATTTCATATCTTGGCCATTGTATATAGAGCTGTAATAAATATGAGAGTGCAGATATCTTTTTGACACAGTAATTTCATTTCCTTTGCATATATACCCAGCAGTGGGATTGCCAGATCATATGGTAGTTACTAATTGTAGATTTTTGAGGACCCTCTACTGTTTTCCGTAATAACTATACAAATTTACATTCCTACCAGCAATGTGTACAGGTTCCCTTTTCTCTAACATTTATCTTTTTGACACTAGCATATTGTGGTTTTGGCTTGCATTTCCCTCATCATAAGTGATATTGAGCATTTTTCCTATACCTGTTGACCATTTGTATTTTTTCTTTTGAGATATGTCTATTTAAGACTTTTGACCATTTTAAAATCGAGTTATTTGGCTTTTTGATATATTGAATTGTTTGAATTACTTGTATATTTAGGATATTTACCCCTTATCAGATATATAGTTTGCAAATATTTTCTCTTATTCTGTAGGTTGTCTGTTTTTTATTTTTTATTTTGCTATGCAGAAGCTTTTTGTTTGATATAATCCCATTCATTTATTTTTGCTTTTGTTGCTTGTACTTTTGAGGTAGTATAAAAAAAAATCATTCCCCTGGCTGGATGCAGTGGCTCACACCTGTAATCCTAGCACTCTGGGAGGCTGAGATGGGTGGATGGCCAGAGGTCAGGAGTTGGAGACCAGCCTGAGCAAGAATAACAGGCATCATATATGGTGAGAGATAAGGATCTAATTTCAGTCTTCTACCTGGGGTTGTAGTTTTCTCTATACTTTTTTTTGAAGAGATTGTTCTTTCCTCATTGTGTGTTGTTGGCATCTTTGTTGAAAATAAGTGGACTATAAATGTGTGGATTTATTTCTAGGCTCCCTATTCTGTGCCACTGATCTGTGTATCTGTTTTCATGCCATGTTGTTTTGGTTAATATAGCTTTGTCACATATTTTGAAGTCAAGTGGTATGACATCTCTGGCTTTGTTGTTTTTGTTCAAGATTGCTTTGGCCATTTTTTTTTCTGGTTTCATACAAATTTTAGGATTTTTTTTCTATTTCTGTGAAGAATGTTATCGGCATTTTAATAGGGATAGCATTGAATCTGCTTAATTATTAATTAGGTCATGGGCATATCTATTTATAATTGTTATATTCTCTTGCTGAACTGACAATTTTATCATTTAATGAACTTCTTTGTCTCTTTTTAGTGTATTTGACTTAAAGTCTCATTTAAGTTTAGCTACTCCTGCTATATTTTGGTTTCTATTTGCATGGAATATTACTCTCACCTCTTCACTTTTTGTCTGTGTTCTGACAAGTGAAGTGAGTCTCATATAGGCAACATATAATACTGTTTTTTGGTTTTTTTTTTAGAGACAGAGTCTCACTTTATTGCCCTCGGTAGAGTGCTGTGGTGTCACAGCTCATAGCAACTTGCAACTCCTTGGCTTAGGCGATTCTCAGCCTAAGTCCTCAGCCTTCCGAGTAGCTGGGACTATAGGCACCCATCACAATGCCCAGCTATTTTTTGTTGCAGTTTGGCTGGGGCAGGGTTTGAACCCACCATCCTTGGTATATGGGGCCAGCACCCTACCCAATATTGGCACCAACAGGCACCACCCAATATTGTTTTTTAATTTATTCAGCCACTCTGTTTTTTGATTGGCAATAATATAATCTATTTATAGTCAAAGTAACTATTGATAGGTAAGATATATTGACTTACAACTACCATTTTAAAAATTGTTTTGGAGTTGTTTTATAGATCTTTTCTTCTTTTCTCTTACTTTATGATTGATTTTCTCTAGTAATATGTTTAATTCCTTTCGTTTAATTTTTAGTGTACCTATTATACGTTTTTGATTTGTGGTTACCATGAGGCATACAAAAAATATCTGATAGTTATAAGAAGTTAATTTAAGCTGGTAACAACTTAACTTTGATCACAAAGAAAACTCTCTAAACTTTAACTTTACCCCCACCCCATATGTTGAATTTTTGATGTCACAATTTACAACTTTTTCTATTGCATTTACCTTAACAAACTATTGTAGTTATTATTAGGAATAGCTTTGTCTTCATACTAAAGATATAAGTGATTTACACACCACAATTACAGTGTTCCAGTATTTTGAATTTGACTGTTTACTTATTTTTACCAGTGAGTTTTATACGTCAGTTGTTTTTTTGTGTTACTCATTAATGTCATTTTATTTCAGCTCATAGGATTCCTTTTAGCGTTTCTCATAAGACAGGTTTAGTGTTGATGAAATTCCACTGCTTTATAGGTCTGTCAAATCTGAAGGATAGCTTTGCTGAGAACAGTATTCTTGATTGGCAGCTTTTTCCCTTTAGCACTTTAAATACATTATTTCATATATTTCAATAAAATAACTTCTTTTATTGCTTTCAGCATTCTCTCTTTGTCTTTGATCTTTTATAGTTTGTTTACAATGTGTAAACTTTGAGCTTTGACTTTTCTGTACTTGGATATTTTTATCTTTCTCCAGGTTTGGAAAGTTTTCTGCTGTTATTTCTTTAAAAAAGCTTTCTACCCATTTATCTTTCCCCATTCCCTCTTTAACATTTGCTGTTTTGATGCTATTCTATATATCCTATAAGGTTTATTCATTCCTTTTTATTCTTTTTTCTCCATGACTATATATTTTTCAATGACCTCTGTTGACATTTATAAATTCTTTCTTCTGCAATAGTTCTACTATTGATGCTCTCTATTGCTTTTTTATTTTGTTCACTTATTCTTCAGCTCCAGGATTCTGTTTGATTTATATTATTATTTCAATCTCTCAGTTAAAGTTTGATTCTGGTCACTTATTTTTTCCTCATTTCATTAAACTCTTTCTTTGTAGTTTATTAAAGTTCATTGAGCAGCCTTAAAACAGCTAATTTGAATTCTTCATCAGGCAGTTCTTTTGTCTCCATCTCTTTAGAACCACTCATTGGCACCTTACTATGTATTTAGTGACATCATGTTTCCCTGATCACTTTTGATCCTTCTGGTTGTACATTACTGTTTGTGTATCGAAGAAGTAAGTACTTACACCAGTAAGTTACAGCCTGGCTCTATCTTGGAATGTTCTTAAATAGTATGCCTGTTCAGAGATTCTTGGTAAGTCTTCTGGTATGGCCCCTAAGCCAACTTGAGCCCAGCACATGGGTGCCTTAACATGGGGTGCCTTAAGATGATTTGAAATCTCATGGCCACTGAGACTTCCATAGTGCTGGCTACATTCTTGTGGCCATTGTAACTGGCATAGCACTGGGGAGTGCCCAAAGCCTGTGTCTGCTGAGGCTTGTGCAACACTGGGCCACAGCTAAAGCCTGTGGCAGTTGAAGCCTGCTTGTTACTGTGGATTATTCTGAGTCCAAGCCTGCTATAGTTAGTTGGTGATGATGCAGGCTAGAGCTAGTATCTATCTTGCAGGGGCTATAGGTTCCTATCTGGCACTGGGGTAGGTCTAGAGATTTAGTCCATAGGTATCAGGCTGGAGTCAAGGGTCATAAGAATCTGCTGGGTGCTGGGTTTTACTGTATTGGAACCTGTATTAGAGACCAAGAAAAGTTCTATGCTTATTTCTCTCTCTCCCCCAAGTGAAAGTATCTCTCTGCACTGTGCTTGCTGCCTGGGATTCAGGGAAGGGTGATTCAGGTAATATAAAACTATCTTTCATAACTCCTTCAATGTATCTTTTCTTCTTACTATGCTTTAACTAGGTAGTGTGACCTCTCACCTGGTTTTCTTACCTCTTGTGAAGGTATTTTTATGCATGGATAACTGTTCAAATTGTCATTTGAATACAAGTGTTATTTTTGTAAAACGACTGTTTTTCCTTTGAGTATATACCCAGCAATGGGATTGCTGGATCAAATGGTAAATCTGCTTTAAGTTCTTTGAGATATCTCTGTACAACTTTTCACAGAGGTTGTACTAGTTTGCAGTCCCACTGACAGTATATAAGAGTTCCTTTCCCTCCACATTCACAGCAGCATCTGTTGCTTTGGAACTTTATGATGTGAGCCATTCTCACTGGGTTTAGGTGACATCTCAGCGTAGTTTTGATTTACATTTCCTTGATTAAAGATGTTGATCATTTTTTCATGTGTTGGCTGGCCATTACTCTGTCTTCATTAGAAAAGTTTCTGTTCACATCTTTTGCCTACTTTTTAATGGGGTTGTTTGATCTTTTCATGTTAATTTGCTTTGAGTTCTTTATAGATTCTGGT